TGTGTATAAGAGACAGCTAATAGTTTAACGACTTTTCGGTCCAATTAAAATAAAAATAAAAATAAGTTAAAATTTTATACACTAAGACTAAATGTAATACTGCGCCTCACAATTAATAAATTTACTAGATATACTACGGCATTACAACAGTACGTACAGTACGATCACTGTCAAACTAAATAAATATGTTGTGTAAATTGTGGGCGTTTCAGCCGTTTCATCTTCGCTTTTTTTTTTGAAATAATAAAAAAATGTCACAAATTGATATAGATTGTGAAAAATGTGGCGACACATACACATATGTAGAAGATGGATGGTGTAGACCATGTCAAATAGATAATTTTAAAAAAAATCTTACAAATTGGACAAGCGGAAATGAAATCATTGATAATTTAATTCAAAAAAAAAATCAAGATATTTATGGACCAAATGATATAATATTTGAATGGATACCATACAATCAATTGAATGATATTAAAGAAATAAACAATGTTTTATATTTGGCAATATGGAAAGATGGTCCATTATACTATTGTCATCACAAAAAGGAATATGTAAGGAAATCTGAGAATGAAAAAGTAATTATTTTCAGTTGTTTGTATGATTTGTCAATTATTACCAATGAATTTTATGATAAGGTATGAAATGACTATATTTAATCCAAAATTTTAATATATATATATATTTTTATATTTCATTGTAATGATTTTTTTTATTATTTATAATAGGTTAAATCATATTTTGGTTTATATAATTTTCCAATATATGGAATATCTCAAAATCCAAATACAAAAGAATATTTTATGGTTTTTCAAGATGATCATTGTGAAAAATGTGGTAAAAAATATACAGATGTGAAGTACAAATGGTGTGAATCATGTCAAATAAATTATTTAGAGAAAAATTTTACAAATTGGACTAGTGGAAATGAAATAGTTGATAATTTTATTCAAGAATTCCAATTAAAAATTTATGATTTCAATGATATAATAATTGAATGGATACCATATGACCAATTTGATAATATTAAAGAGATAAGAAAAGATGGTTTTATTACAATATATTCAACAATATGGAAGGACGGTCCTTTATATTATTGTCTTTATAAAAAAAAATATAAAAGAAAGTTAGGGAAAAAACAAGTTGCTTTAAAATATATGCATAATTCACAAAATATTACCAACGAATTATTAAACAAGGTATGAAATATTAATATAAATATTTTTTTATATTATTTTTTATACTAATTAATTTTCAAATAAAGGGACGTAATAGTAATACTCTTCCAATATATGGAATATCACAAAATCCAGATACAAGAGATTATATAATAGTTATCCAAGATGAATATTGTGAAAAATGTGGTGAAGAATATATGAATTTAATGTATTATCAGCGTAAAAAATGGTGTAAATCATGTCAAATAGATTATTTAAAGAAAAATTTTATAAATTGGACTAGTGGAAATGAAAAAGTTGATAATTTTATTCAAGAATTTCAATTAAAAATTAATGATTACAATGATATAATAATCGAATGGATACCATATGACCAGTTTGATAATATTAAAGAAATAGGCAAAAATGGTATTATTACAATATATACAGCAGTATGGAAAAGTAGTCCATTAAATTATGATATAAATAAAAAAATATATAAGAGAGATTTTATAAATCAAAATAAAAAAGTTACTTTAATATGTTATAATACACAAGATATTACTGAATTTTTAAGTGAGGTAAGAAAGTTTCTTTATAAATTTCCTTTATATTATTATTTTTTAATAATGTTTTTTTTTTATTTTTAATAGGATAATGAATATTCAATGCTAGATAGGATTGATAATATATATGGATTATCTCAAAATTCAGATACAAAAGATTATATAATGATTCTTAAAGATGAATATTGTGAAAAATGTGGTGAGCAATATACAGATATAGTAGAAAAATGGTGTAAACCATGTGAAATAAATTATTTAAAGAAAAATTTTACAAATTGGACAAGTGGAAATGAAAAAATTGATAAATTTATTCAAAAGATGCAATTAGAGATTGATGATTATGACAATATAATAGTTGAGTGGATATTATATGAACAGTTTAATAATATTAAAGAAATAGGTAAAAATGATTTATTTACAATATATTCAGCAATATGGAAAAATGGTCAGTTGAATTATGATGGAAATAAAAGAATATATAAAAGAAATTTAAAAAATCAGAATGAAATAGTTACTTTAAAATCATTTAATTCACAAAATATTACTGATGAATTTTTTAATAAGGTATAAAATTTTTTTTTATTAATTTATTTTATTTTAATTATTTTAGTAATATTTTTATTTTATTTTATTAGAAATACAGTAATAAAATATATGGGGTATCACAAAATCCAAATACAAAAAATTACATTATAGTTATTCAAGAGAAATATTGTGAAAATTGTGGTAAGGAATATACAGTTACATATCTTAAATGGTGTAAAACATGTCAAATAAGCAACTTGAAGAAAAATTTTACAAATTGGACCAGCAAAAATGAAAAAATTGATAAATTTATTCAAGAAATGCAATTAAAAATTGATAATTTTAATAATATAATAGTTGAATGGATACCATATGAACAGTTTAATAATATTAAAAAAATAAACAAAGATGATTATATTACAATATATTCAGCAATATGGAAAAATGGTCAGTTAAATTATGATAAATATAAAAAAATATATCAAAGAAATTTAAAAAATAAGAATCAAAAAATTGCTTTAAAATTTTACAATTTGCAAGATAATGCTGATGAATTTTTTAATGAGGTATAAAATTCAGTTCTTTTATAAATTTATTTTATTTTATTTTCTAATAAAAATTTTTTTTTTAATAGGCTAATGAATATAGTAATAATAAAATAATATATGGAATATCTCAAAATCCAGATACAAAAAATTATATTATGGTTATTGAAAATATATATTGTGAAAAATGTAGTAAAATTTTGCATGATACTTTGTGTATATCATGTCAATTAGATTATTTAAGAAAAAATCCTATAAATTGTACCAGTGGAAATAAAAAAATTGATGAACTTATTCAAGAAATGCAATTAAAAATTAATAATAAATCTGATACAATATTTGAGTGGATATCATACAATCAGTTTAATAAGATTGAAGAAATAGGTAAGGGTGGATTTGCTATAGTTTATTCAGCAATATGGAAGGATGGTCCATTATTTTACAAAGAAAAATTTAGAAGAATACGTGGTAATATAAAAGTTGCTTTAAAATGTTTGCTCAATTCATCACAAAATATTATTGATGAATTTTTAAATGAGGTAAGAAATTATATATATATATACATATAATTAAATTTTATTTTATATAAATAATAATTTTTACATATTTTAATAGATTAGAGCATATTCTCTTAATTATAATGAAAATATTATTCGAATATATGGATTATCTCAAAATCCAGATACAAAAGATTATATTATAGTTCTAGGTTATGCAAGTGGAGGAAGTTTATATTACCAGTTAAATAAAAATTATGATAAATTTAATTGGACATTTAAATTAGATTTAATATTGAATATTATTATAGGACTTAAAAATATTCATCAAAAACAAATGGTTCATCGTGATTTTCATGTAGGAAATTTATTAGTTGAACATGAAACATCTGGTGAAATATATATTTCAGATATGGGATTATGTGGAGAAGTTAGTAATATAAAAGATGAAAGCAAAATTTATGGAGTTATACCTTATGTAGCTCCTGAAGTATTAAAAGGTAAACCTTATACTCAAGCAGCAGATATATACAGTTTCGGTATGATTATGTATTATATAGCAACTGGAAAACAACCTTTTGCCAATTGTGCACATGATGAATTTTTAGTATTAAATATATGTAATGGAGTTAGACCTGAAATAAATGAATCAGAAATACCAAAAATTTATATTGATATAATGAAAAAATGTTGGGATTCAAATCCAAATAATAGACCAAATACTATTGATTTAGTAAAATCGATTAATTCTTTTAGATATATTAAAGATGAGGAAATTGAAAAGCAATTTGAAAAAGCAGAAGAATATAGAAAAGCAAATCTTTTATCTATTAAAAATAATCAATCAACTACTCATTCAGAAGCTTATTATACATCTCGATTACTTAATCCATTTACAAAAAATCTTTATTCAATGGAAGTTATTGACTTCACAAAGTAAGTTAATTATGTTTATTTATTTATTTATTTATTTATTTTAATTAAAAAATATTTAATTATTAAATTTATTTTATAGTTTATAGTTTAAAATGAAAATAATTAATTAAAAGAAAAGAATCATTATAAAACTATAATTTTTTTTTATTGATAGTTTTTTGTTTAACACTGATTATGAGATATTTGTAAATTTAATGAAATTAATTTAATTAGTTTGTAATTAAACAAATATTTTATTTTTTTATAAATAGCTTTTTTTTATTCAACACTGATTATAGAGTATTTGTAAAACATTTTATATAATAAAATCAGTTTGTAATTAACTTTTAAATTTAAATAAAAATTGCTAATTATTATTGCCTATGATAATCACATAATTATATTATTTGACTGCATATTATTTAGAAAATTTCTAAGTTTATACGGGGTGTTTGTACACGGGTCATATAAATATAATTTTTAATAGACTAATTTTTTGTTTTTTAATTTGAAATTGAATGCTACCAACATTATACTCTTTTACTTTTTATTCTTATTATATTACAGATAAATATACGTATTTTCACCTGCTCTGCAAGTTTACTTAAGGTATTAAAGGAGGTTTTGAATGCCGTTTTTAATCTACTAATATGACCCGTGTTTAAACACCCCGTGTACAAATAGAAATTGCCTATTATTTATTATATTTGAATACAAATTATTATTATAACTTTCAATTTTTTTTCACCAAAAACTTTATTTTTACAATTACAATCTAACTTCAATATACCAATATTCGATATACTGATATAGGACCTCGCTTACTTATAATAAAGGTCACTATAGAAAATTGGCCCTTTACTAATAGTTTTTACCTTACTTTTTTCTTAAATTCTATTGGTTAATTAGCTAAAAAGGAAAAAATCATAACAATGTAACATAAAATTTCCGTTTATAGTAAGATTTGCAAAGAATTTTATATATCATTTTTACCTTAGGTCTGGGGGTGACTTATCTTATAAGTAAGCAGGGTCCTACTAATATACTATTAAAAATTTAATATACCAATAAAATTTTATTTTTCTACTATATGTGAGGACATATAAATATTGGTATATATTTGATATAACAATATTTTCTAAAAATTTCATATATATCTTGACATATCGTTATATAAAGGTTTAACTATATGTAAATTATACCCAGTTTTCTGATATTACAAAAATGATTTTTTTCAGAATATATTAGATAAATGCAGCAATCCTTTAGAAAAAATCATTTTTTGCAATTATCTCACAATCTATCAATCCAATTTCAACAATCATTTTTTTATTACGTAGAGAATTTGAAGAGCTATACAATAAAAAAATGTTCATTGAAATTGAATTACTAGATCATAAGATAATTGCAAAAACAAGTTTTTTTTATTTTTTTCAAATTTAATTAGTGATTTACTTCTTATTTTTACATGAATCACAAATTAAATACTAATTTTAAAAGTTTAAAAATAGATTAAACTCCATAAAAACATATATTCTGAATATGAATCTAGCATTTTTTTAAAAAAAAATTATAAAAAAATTCTTTTTAATTTTTTTTTTTAAATTTAGAGCTGTTATAAATATTATATTAAATACAGCACTGCATAGCGGGCTTTCTCATTTATCACATTAATTTGCCGATCATTTCCCAATTTTATCACATGATATAAAATGCCGTTACAAGACATTGCATAAAATTCTACATATTAATATGACCTCAAATATTGCAAATAAATTTATTGCACTTTAAATTTTAATCATACAAAGTTTTATTCAAATTGAATTATTATTGACCGATTTTTACAAGTAGTAACTTTTAATTTAATGCATTTTACGTAATTTTTTAATATAAATGACTGGCAGATTTAAAAACTCATATAATAATCATACTTTAAATCTTGCAAACTAATAAATATTAATAAAATATATTTGCAAAAAAATTTTGTTAGAATCTGAAATAAATTCAAGAATTTTAATATGTACCTTCCATATAAATTAAAAATCCATTATAATTCCTGATTTCCTGTTGCAAAATCATAAATAACTCAACATATATGCATACTAGAAAAATGAATTTATATTTATTTGAAAGGAGAGAATGAGATCTATCCAAAAAGTTAAAAATCACATTGATTGAATCATTAGTTCCTTAATAAATACGCTCAATACATTTACTATCAATTTGACATAAACTCTTGCATTTGAACATAAATATTTCCTTATCTAATGATTTAATTTGCATGATTTTTGATTTCAAAATTAGAGCCCATTTACACCTTTCAAAGGAATATAAAATTATTCATTTAGTATATGTGTATGTTGATAAATTAACGATAATGTCATTACAATCAAAACCTGACACAAAATTTAAATTACCAATAATTGTAGCCATAAAACTCCTTTCACTTTATTTAAAGGATGTTGTTTAAGCTTTTAATAGAATATACTGATGAAATTCATAAGTCAACTTCTAAAAAAGAGAAAGAAATAATTAGTTTATTAATAAAGGAAAAAAAATTCTAAAAATCCTATCTGATCCTTTAAATGGTAAGGAGTTCTATCAATAAAGAATTTTTTTGACACTAAACTTATTTAAAACTTTATAACTTACACTTAAGAAGAACCTGGAGTGTCAAAACATATTTTTATTTGATTCCAACTATTTTTTGTCAAAAATTCTTTGTAAAGCCAAATAATATAAATGTACTATACTTATTTTCATTTTATAAGAAGGTTTCAAGTGTTTATAACTTCTGGATTCCACCTCTAATAGCCAGATTCCTTTGTAATACGTTTAAACAAGACCTGAAGAATCAATTTTTTTATCGTCCTTCGCTATTAAATTTTTTGTTGCACAATTAAAATAAATTAGTACAGCTATCACATGTGCAATACATATGATACCCAGCCAATAAAATACATATCTATATACAAACAATTATGTCAGTGTTACGTTATTTAAAAATTACTAGAAAATGTTATTTATTATGGCGCCATAACAGATAATTTATTAATAAAAAACTAAAAATAATACATATGCTGATCATCATGTGATTATTCAAAAATCGAAAAGCCTGCTATGTTGTGTTTCTGGTGACCTTTTCATTTGTTTATTTTCTCAATCTTTTGAATGGCATATTTCATGATGTTTAACAGTTTCATTTTCTCTGGATTTACATTTACGAAGTGTTGATAGGTTTGTCATCTGTTCATTTGCTTTTGCTATTTATCGAATTGTTTAATTATTTTTTATGGTTTATTTATTAATTTTTTTTTTTGAATGTACAATTTATAGACTGACACTTCAAAAGCAACGGTTATTAGCAAAAGAGATATTTATTTTCAAATTTTATTATACCAGTTTTTCTACATAAAAATTATAAAAACATTAGTTTAAAAAATTTATTATATATAGTACTATTATACTATATATTAAACTATTTAAACTATTTTATAATTAATAAATTATTTACGCGTTTATCTGTAACACTGATCCTAAAATTTCATTGGTTATATACGCGGCGTGACAGACAGACATTGCATGATATCGAGTTCAAACAGTATAGTCCTATGCTACGCTTTGGACAATTATTCTAATTTATTTTATTTGATATAGTAAAATTTTTATTTTCACTCAAATTATAATCCAAATTATAAATCTAAATCAATATTATGTAATAACCAATTTTCCTAAGAAATTTCATCATGATTTAAATTCATTAATCCTGTTGCAACGCAACAGGTTACAGTTAGTAAATTCTTAAAATTGTTCAGTTCTTAAAAATTTTATAATTATGATAATCAAAAAATAAACAAAATTTTTCATTTATCTTGATTAGCTTACTATTTTTTTTTTATTGATATCTGTGCAAGATTATAAAATTGAAACTAGTAAGTCGATCCTTTTAAACTGATAAAACAATTTTTCTGACTTGGCAGCTAATGTATGACAATCTAGAAGTGTTAAATTGCATGATTTCTATTAATCTCACTTTTTTAAATTATTTTCATTAATAAAAAATGTACAAGTAACTAATATAATCATAAGAAAGATATTATTATGTATTTATATATATATTATATATAATACACAATAATTTTAATAATTTATTTTTTTATTAAATCAAAATTGATAATTTGCTTAATTACTCTTGCTTACTTTTTCTATTTAACTTGGTTTTACTATTTAGAAAATTAATATATTACAATTTCTATATTAAGTATTTTTTGTATACTATAGAAGTACTGAAGATATCAGTTCTGATGGGAAAAAGGAAAATTAAAGCACACAAGTGATATTATTTGGATATCATGCAATGATTGCAATGTTATTAGCAATCTGATGAGATTTCATAATTGCGATTATTTTTTCTGCGACAATTTTGATTAAATAATCGATTCATTTAAATAAATCATTT